TGTGTTATATCGATCGGAAGTTCAAAATAAGCGTTTCGCTCGGGACATCCTCAACATTTAATTCGCCGGCCCGTCTTGACCTCGTTATTCAACTGAGAAAAGAACAGAAACTAATTTTGCCGGCCCGTCTCAAGTCGATTCCGGGGCTAAACCTACTAGAATATAACTCTGGGCCACAGCCCTTTCCACGAAAAAACATGCAACACCCCTAAACACTCAGCACTGGCACGGCAGGAGGAGGAGGGGGAGCTGGAGGAGGAGGAGGAGGAGGAGGAGGAGGAGGAGGAGGAGGAGGAGGAGGAAGAGGAGGAGGAGAAGGACAAGGAGGAGGAGGAAAGGGGGAGGGGAATGAGGAGCAGGAGGAAGGGAATGGGGAGGAGGGGGACGCGGAGGAGTGGGAGGGGGAGGGTAGATGTGGTGGGTGGCAATTGGTGCCTGGAATGGTAGGTGGTGGCACGAATGCCTTGAGATGGAGGTACGGGTCACCCCCCCCTACGGCCGTCTTCGTTGGCCGAGGGACCGTAGGGGGGTCCTCGGCCCCCTCCGGTGCCTATTGACGGCAAAATGGAAGGTTGACTGGTGGGAGCGGGAACCCTCGCAACTCGCAACACCATTAATGGAAGCTGCGAGGGGTGTGAGGCCTAATGACGGTCCTCACCGACGAGGCCTAATGACGGTCCTCGCCGAGGGGAGGGGCGAGAGGGAGGGGGGCCACTCCGGGTGTCGATGCCGCCCGCGATGCCTCTCACTCCTGAGGCGGGATTCCTGCAAATGGGGGCCCACAAACCAGCATACACAGCTTCGACTCCGAGACTGTGTATACGCCACACCCCCCGGAACCTCCAGGACTAATTCTTCACTACATCGACGGGTGGGCCGGACAAGGGTGGGGTGATAGGGGGGCGGGGTCGCGAAGTCGCAACCCCACCAAGATAAAGTCCCATGCCTCCCCTGGGGAATGGAACAAGGTGGGAAGTGCCATTTCGGACCAGGACCCCCCGGAGCCGGCCAAAGCGAGGGGGAGGGGACAAAATCTCCATAGTCGTTTGGGGAATCAGCCCCAATCCGCACACCAGACCAGAAGCCGGAGACCAGGGTCCACGAGGGCCCAGGAAAAGGAGGGTCGATCGCCCCCGCCAGGAATTGGATGCCACTCCAGGTTCGCGAAGGCGCCCCAGACGACGAAGCGACCGAGGCGTCGAGCTCGACCCCAGGCGAGTAATCCCCCACGTCGAAAGGCGTCCCCAGACAGCAGACGACGAAAGCGACCGAGGCGTCGAGCTCGACCCCAGGCGAGTACCCCCACACGGTGCGCCGGCGCACGGCGCGCGGCCGCAGGCGAGGGGCTTGCGGGATCCTCGATGGGGCAGCCCTAAAAGGAGAAAAATAAACCCGGCACCGACGCCCGCTAGCCAGACATGCTAAAGGTGCGGGGGAACGGCAAGTACACAGGAAGAGAGGAGAGAAAGAGAGAGAGAGAGAGAGGGGAGCAGGGCAGAGAGGCGGGGAGCAAAGCGGGGGGGGGGAAAAGGGGCGGGCAAGGGGACAGAACGGGAACGGGGAAGAGAGGGGCGGGGGGACAGAGACTGAAGTCAAACGTAGATTTGTGGCCCAAAGGGATCCTGGAGGTAGGTCTTCTCGATTGGTTGGCGGGGAGTGGGCACGACCGCACGAGTGCCACTACAGCACGGGTCGAACCATCACCCTAGGTGGGCGGGGAGAGGGACACGACCGCACGAGTGCCACTACAGCACGGGTCGAACCGTCACCCTTGCTGCACTGCTGGGGTGGCCCAAGTGCCAAAATGTAAAGGCTGACTGACATTGACAGGCACAATCAGCCGGCAGGGGAATAAATCCCGTTCACGGCCCAAAGGAGGATAGATGTGGTGGGTGGCAATTGGTGCCTGGAATGGTAGGTGGTGGCACGAATGCCTTGAGATGGAGGTACGGGTCACCCCCCCCTACGGCCGTCTTCGTTGGCCGAGGGACCGTAGGGGGGTCCTCGGCCCCCTCCGGTGCCTATTGACGGCAAAATGGAAGGTTGACTGGTGGGAGCGGGAACCCTCGCAACCCCATTGATGGAAGCTGCGAGGGGTGTGAGGCCTAATGACGGTCCTCACCGACGAGGCCTAATGACGGTCCTCGCCGAGGGGAGGGGCGAGAGGGAGGGGGGCCACTCCGGGTGTCGATGCCGCCCGCGATGCCTCTCACTCCTGAGGCGGGATTCCTGCAAATGGGGGCCCACAAACCAGCATACACAGCTTCGACTCCGAGACTGTGTATACGCCACACCCCCCGGAACTTCCAGGACTACTTCTTCACTACATCGACGGGTGGGCCGGACAAGGGTGGGGTGAGAGGGGGGCGGGTCGCGAAGTCGCATCCCCACCAAGATAAAGTCCCATGCCTCCCCTGCGGAATGGAACAAGGTGGGAAGTGCCATTTCGGACCAGGACCCCCCGGAGCCGGCCAAAGCGAGGGGGAGGGGACAAAATCTCCAAAGTCGTTTGGGGAAACAGCCCCAATCCGCACACCAGACCAGAAGCCGGAGACCAGGGTCCACGAGGACCCAGGAAAAGGAGGGTCGATCGCCCCCGCCGCCAGGAATTGGATGCCACTCCAGGTCCGCGAAGGCGCCCCAGACGACGAAGCGACCGAGGCGTCGAGCTCGACCCCAGGCGAATAATCCCCCACGTGCGCCGGCAGCACGGCGCGCGGCGCAGGCGAGGGGCTGGCGGGATCCTCGACTAGGGCAGCCCTAAAAGGAGAGAAAATAAACCCGGCACCGTACCCCGCGATCCAAACATGCTGGTGCGGGGACGGGCAAGACAGAGGCAGAGGAGGAGAGAACGGGCAGGGAGGACAGGAGGAGGAGGAGAAGAGACAAGGCAAGAAAAGCGGGGGGGGGAAGGGGGCGGGCAAGGGGCCAGAGCGGGGACGGGGAAGAGAGGGGCGGGGGGACAGAGACTGAAGTCAAACGTAGATTTGTGGCCCCAAGGGATCCTTGAGGTAGGTCTTCTCGATTGGTTGGCGGGGAGTGGGCACGACCGCATGAGTGCCACTACAGCACGGGTCGAACCATCACCCTAAGTGGGCGGGGAGAGGGACACGACCGCATGAGTGCCACTACAGCACGGGTCGAAGCGTTACCCTTGGTGCACTGCTGGGGTGGCCCAAGTGCCAAAATGTAAAGGCTGACTGACATTGACAGGCACAATCGGCCGGCAGGGGAATAAATCCCGTTCACGGCCCAAAGGAGGATAGATGTGGTGGGTGGCAATTGGTGCCTGGAGTGGTAGGTGGTGGCACGAATGCCTTGAGACGGAGGTACGGGTCACCCCCCCTACGGCCGTCTTCGTTGGCCGAGGGACCGTAGGGGGGTCCTCGGCCCCCTCCGGTGCCTATTGATGGTGGGAGCGGGAACCCTCGCAACCCCATTGATGGAAGCTGCGAGGGGTGTGAGGCCTAATGAGGGTCCTCACCGACGAGGCCTAATGACGGTCCTCGCCGAGGGGAGGGGCGAGAGGGAGGGGGGCCACTCCGGGTGTCGATGCCGCCCGCGATGCCTCTCACTCCTGAGGCGGGATTCCTGCAAATGGGGGCCCACAAACCAGCATACACAGCTTCGACTCCGAGACTGTGTATACGCCACACCCCCCGGAACTTCCAGGACTACTTCTTCACTACATCGACGGGTGGGCCGGACAAGGGTGGGGTGAGAGGGGGGCGGGTCGCGAAGTCGCATCCCCACCAAGATAAAGTCCCATGCCTCCCCTGCGGAATGGAACAAGGTGGGAAGTGCCATTTCGGACCAGGACCCCCCGGAGCCGGCCAAAGCGAGGGGGAGGGGACAAAATCTCCAAAGTCGTTTGGGGAAACAGCCCCAATCCGCACACCAGACCAGAAGCCGGAGACCAGGGTCCACGAGGACCCAGGAAAAGGAGGGTCGATCGCCCCCGCCGCCAGGAGGAGGAGGAGGAGGAGGAGGAGGAGGAGAGGAGGCAGGAGGAGGAGGAGGAGGAGCGAGGAGGAGGAGGAGGCGGAGGAGGAGGAGGAGGAGGAGGAGGGGGGAGGGGAAGAGGGGAGGGGGGAGGGGCGAGTGGGAGGGGAGGGGGAGGCGGCGGCGGCGGGGGGCGGAAGGAGGAGGAGGAGAGCAGGCGGCAGGAGCAGGAGGGAGGAGGGAGGAGGGGAGGAGGGAGGAAGGGAGGAGAGGAGGAGGAGGAGGAGAGGAGGAGGCGGATGAGGAGGAGGAGGAGGAGGAGGGGAGGAGGCGGAGGCAGGAGGCGAGCGGAGGCGGAGGGAGGAGGCGGCGGCGGCGGCGGAGGAGAAGGAGGAGGAGGAGGAAGAGGAGGCGGCGGAGGCGGAGGCGGAGGCGGAGCCGGAGGGGAGGAGGGAGGAGGGAGGAGGCGGAGGCGGCGGCGGCGGGGCCGTCGGCGGGCGGAGGAGGGAGGAGGAGGAGGAGGAGGAGGAGGCGGAGGAGGAGGAGGAGGAGGAGGAGGAGGAGGAGGAGGAGGAGGAGGAGGAGGCGGAGGAGGAGGAGGAGGAGGAGAGGAGGAGGAGGAGGAAGAGGAGGAGGACGGAGGGGGAGGGGGAGGAGAGGAGGAGGAGGGAGGAGGGAGGAGGGAGAGGGAGGGGAGGAGGGAGGAAGGGAGGAGGGAAGGAGGGAGGAGGGGAGGAGGGAGGAGGAGGGCGGAGGGAAAGAGGGAGGAGGGAGGAGGGAGGAGGGAGGAGGGAGGAGGGAGGAGGAGGAGGGAGGGAAGGAGGAGGAGGAGGGAGGAGGGGAGGGAGGAGGGGAGGAGGAGGAGGAGGAGGAGGCGGAGGAGGAGAGTAGGAGAGGAGGGAGGGAGGGAGGGAGGGAGGAGGGGAGGAGGGAGGGAGGGAGGGAGGACCAGGGAGGGCGGGGGAGGAGGGAGGAGGGAGCACAGCTCCCCGAGTGTGTGGCCGGCCGGCGAGGCGCCTCGCTTGCCCCCCCGGCGCCGTGCTCGGCGCCCCCGCGAGGCCGCCGGCGGGCGGGTCGAGTGCGTTGGCGCGTCGTTCGGGGCCGCGCCCTCGCCGGACGGCGGCGCGTGCGTTTGCCGGAGCGCCGGGCCCGAGGACTGGCGGGCCGCGCGAAGTCCCCCTCGTCTCGGCCCGGACGAAAGTCGTTTTTTTTTGGACCCCGGGTAAGCGGACCCGGTTAGTGGTATAGGGCCCTGGGGCCCCTGAGTTGGCCAGATTCACTGCACCAGGTTTGCCGTAATTGGTGTTTTTCGGGTGACGGCAGTTCCGGTTAGCGGAACGGGGCGGGGGGGGGCGCCCCCTCGGTACATATCACTAAACCAGGGCCCACTAATCCCAGTCTTGCAAACGCCCGAGAAAGGGGGGGGATAGGGAAAGGGGGGGGGTACGAAATCTGCTGCATGCAGTTGGTGTCGGCCCCGCCGCCAGGCCCATTCCTCGACACATGGGCGCATCCCAGCGCCGGGAGGCGCTGGGAAAATCAGTTACGTGAGCTAATTCTCAAACCCCGCCTTTGCTATCCCTCCTTTTCGCCCGGCCCGATCATCGGCTATCGTAAGGAGGGGAACGAACGATGGCAAAAACATAGAAGCTCGGAGGTCCGCTCGGATTTCTCGGATCGGCGCTGGGGCCCCCTAGCGGCGCCTCCGGCGCCGCCCCTGGCGCGCTCCGCGCGCCAGGAAGAGGGGTCCCGCGCGGATCCAAAAAATCCACGCTGACCTCCGAGTTTTTATGTTTATGGCATTGCTCGTTCCCCTCGTAAGAGGGACCACACTGCTGCCCTTCCCATCGTTATTGTCCCTCTGGGCCTCCTCGGAGGCCCTCGTCGGCACCGCTAGACTCGCCCCGAGGTTCTAGCCAGAACGCACCCCAGGAGAGGTCCGGGAGTAGCAGCATCGGTACTTTTAGATTTTGGTTTCTCGAGGAGCCTGGGGGAGAGGAAAAGCAACACCAACACCGCCAGGGGGCCACCTCCAGCGAGGAGGTCCACGATGCTTCCCCGAGCTGGGGCTAGGGTTGTGGTGGACGATCAATGGAGAGGAAGCATGTTGCCAAATATTTTCCAGATGCCTAAAACATGTTTTAAACATGTGTAAAACATGTTTCGACCATTGTTCCTACATTTTAAACACATTTTAAAATTCGATGATAGGACATCCACAAAGCATCCAGAAGGCCAGCGGATGCCTCGGGCGAGATGGGGGGGCCGCGCCACGTTGGGGGGCCCCTCCCTGGGCTCCTCCCGCTGGTGGTCCCTGGTGGTGTGGGTGTCGGTTTCCCATGCTCCAGAGAGTGTGTGTGTGTGTGTGTGTGTGTGTGTGTGTGTGTGTGTGTGTGTGTGTGTGTGTGTGTGTGTGTGTGTGTGTGTGTGGTGCGGCCGCCCCGTCCTTCCTCCCCCCCCCTCGGGCATGCCGGCCCTCCTCCTCCTCCTCCTCCTCCGCCGCCGCCGCCGCCGCATCCGCCTCCTCCTCCTCCTCCTCCTCCTCCTCCTCCTCCTCTTCCTCCTCCTCTGCCTGTTGTCCGTGCCTTTGCGAGCTCTTCCTCCGCCAGCGGAGGGTGCTGTCGCCCCGACCTCTCGTGCAGGGAGGCGGCCCCGCCAGGGAGGAGCCTCGCCAGGCGGCTGCCGGCCCCCCCTCCCCTCCCTGTATGGGCGGAGGAGGGGGCGTACAGTCGATCAGCCCGCACGGTACGGGTGGGCAAGTTTCCCAAGGGTGCCTCTGCATCCTCTCCTCCAGGGCTGGACCTGAACGCCGTGTTGCTGGACTTTGGCGGCTGTGTGCCATGCTTCTCGTTCTGGCAGGGAGGTACGGGACAGCGGGCAGAGCGGAGCGAAGACAGAACGAGCGTTCAGGTCCAGCCCTGCTTGTCTCCTCGGTCCACCCCTGGCCACCTTCGTTGGCCGCGCCCCGCTCGAAAAGCTCCGAAACGGGCGTCCCAGGCCCTTTGCAGCCTTAGCCCGCGTCCTTGCTGTGCGGGTTGACCGCGGGCGGCCCCCGCCGAGGAGAGCCTCCTCGTCCGGCAGGTGCTGGTCCTCCTCGTCATCGCCGGCATCTTCGCGACGATCTGGAAGATCCTCGCGTCCCGGGGTCGACGGGCTCAGGTCCTGCATCGCCGCTCTTCTCTCTCCGGCTCGTCCCCGACACGTCCTTCCGTCCTCGTTTCTCCTCTCCGCCCTCTCCTTGCTCCCCTCACCCCAGCTCGTGCTCGTGCTTCTGCTGCTGGCCCTTCCTTTGCTCATCCTCACTGTCCCAGGCGTCTCTGTCCTGAGAGAGCGACAATCCAGATGCCTCCGGTCACAGCAAACTACCTCATGTTCGACACCATGCGTGGTTGCTTCCACCATCGATGGTGCTGTTGCTGCTTCGCCATTGATGGCACGATACCCTCTCCATTAGTTAACCAGGAGTTACCTCGCCTGTCGACGCCCTGGGGGAGCGAGCAGGTTTTTTTCTTCCTCATGTTCCGGTTCATTTCCTTTGACGAGAGTTCGAAGACAGCGCGGTGCATTTGAAGGGAGGGGCTCTGGGAGAGGAAGGAGTTATCCTTCGCCGCAGGTGCTAGCGTGCGCCTTCGTGGCGTCCCTCGTTCTGACGCAGCTGGGGACCCGTGGGGGATGGTTAGATCACGGACCTCGCATCGCGTAAATATTTCTACCCGATGTATGCTTCTCAAGTCCCATATGTCCGAAGCATTCCAGGACAAGAAGGATCGAGTCTTCGTCGCAGGCCGAACTCCTGCCCGATGCCCAAACAATCGCCGCACATTTTCACTTACAGCTGCGCCCTTAAACGAGGATGGGTCGTTTTGCCAAGGACACAATATATCCGCACCCCAAATTGCTTTTTTTTCTTTTTATTTTTGTTTTTCTTTTTTTGTGTTTTTTTTTTTTTTTTATTTTCTTTTTTTTTTCCTTATTTTTTTTTTTTTTTTTCTTTTTTTTGTTTTTTTTTTTTTTTTTTTTTTTTTATTTTTTTGTTTTTTGTTTTTTTTGTTTGTTTTTTTTTTTTTTTTTTTATTTTGTTTTGTTTTTTTTTTTTTTTTTTTTTTTTTTTGTTTTTTTTTTTTTTTTTTTTTTGTTTTTTTTTTTTTTTTTTTTTTTGTTTTTTTTGGCCTGGGACAAGAAGCTTCGCTGGCCAGTTGTTAGACACCTGGACGCCCAGGAGATCTGCATCCTTGCCCATACCACTTCTCGCGACGGGCCCGTTGCAACCTTTCACCTGGGAGCTCACAGTGTTGGGCAGAGATCGTTCACATCTTCCTGCAGCCCCCCCCCCCCCCCCCACACACACACACACTTAAGTCGGACGTGTCCCTCTACAGGAGGAATATCCAGAAACAGTCAAAAAATAGTATGGAGACGATTTTTTAGAATGTTTTGCCAATGTTTGAATATGTTTTGACTATGTTTAATGTGTCGTTCAAAATTCGCCTATAGGGGGACATTGCCCGACCTAACCCCACACCCCTTCCGCTCCTTTACAACTCTTCCTGTGAGCGGGGGGGGGCATCGCCCTTCCCTGCGCTCGGCTGTGTTGGCGCTGTGCCGAGGCCCGCCAAGGGGGCTCCGGGGTCAGCCCGACGGTCTGTCTCGCCCCGGCATTCCAGGGAAGCTCCAGGGGAACAGAGGGGGGAAGGAGTGGACAGAGGGAGAACTGTAGACGGAGAGGGAGAGGATGGGTTGATCAGAAGGGAGTTCCCAGAGCACGTCTCAAGACACGTTCTTGGGTCGGCTGCGGTTGCGCATGCAGCTCTCTTGCTATGCCTGGGCATTGAACAGCATCCGACATGTCGGACGTACGGAGCCACGGACACCCCGGAGTGGAGGGTGTCCGTTCGCGCGAGCCCATGTGAAGCCGCGCGGGCGTCGGCTGCCTCGAGGCGGCCAGACAACGCCGCGTTCATCCACGTACCCTTCTCGTGGGAGCGACGAGATCTGACGGGGCCGTCTGCGCGGGCATGCGCGCGCAGGGTTCCAGCATATACGGCCGCGCGCGAGCAGGCGCCCCCTTCTCGCTCGCAGCTTGAGCTGCCAGTGCAGTGCCGCGCGCGAGCGCCCCAGTTTCCAGTGTGGCGTCCAGTGTGGCGTCCTTGTCCTCTTTCTCCTCCTTCTCCTCGTCCTCTTTCTCCTCCTCGTCCTCCTCCTCCTCCTCCTCCTCCTCCTCCTCGGCGCCACGAGCGTGGTGTGCCACGCTGGCTGCCCGCGCAAGCCGCGGCCTAAGTTTAAGTCGGGCATGTCCCTCCACAGGGGGGAAGTTCAAAGATAGTCAAAAAGATAGGATGGGGACGATTCTTCTTACCATGTCTTATTATGTTGGAATGCGTTTTGACTATTGTTATTATTCGTCCAAAGTCCCCCTGTAGGAGGACACGCCCGACCTGAGCGTAAGGTCAATATGTCTCGGAGGCGAAGCCGCTGCGGGCGACTGGCCCAGGGGGGAGCAGTACGTGTATCCAGGGGCGCCGATGATCCCTGCGCCAAAGCTCGCTCGAAAAGCTTCGGCATGGGCGCCCAAGGGGCTTTCATGCGATCGCAGACAGACATGGATTAAGGGAGCGTGGATTAGCGGCGGGTCCCGTTTCCATCGGAAATCGCAGATTTCCGCAGCCGAACAGGGCGGCACCGGCCGCATTTTGGGGAGGGCACCAACCCCGATCCATGGATTTGGCGACCGCGCGCCAAGTCCATGGATCGCTAATCCATGTTTGCGCGCCCCCGAGGCTTGCATCCAGATCGCGCACCCTTACTATCAGTCTTGGTTGCGCTGTCCCCCACGATGGCCAGCACCCTGGTCTGGTGCTGCTCAGCGGCCGCGCGCAGAAGGGGGGGGTAGGCGGAGGGGGGGGAGGCTTCCTAGAAGCACCCCTGCTTCTCAGAAGGCGCGGCTTCGGAGAAGCAGGCTCCTTCGGAGAAGCCTTCCCCGCTCCCCCATGCCCCCTTGTGACTCGGGGGTGGACAGACCTCCTACCCTGACACGTCGATTGAGGAATTGGCCGTTTTCCGTTCGCGAGAGGGCGTCGCGGCCGTCGTTTCTGCGGGTCCAGGTCCGTCGGTTTCGGTCTCAGGCCCTTTTCACGAAGGGGAGGTCTACTAAAGGGAGGTTTGCCCACCGCCGAGTGACCTGTGCGCGCCGCCAGGTCGAGGGCAGCGGTGCCGCGGTCCCCCGCGCACGCCCCGCGGCCCGGGGCCCCCCCCCCCGGCGGCCCCCCGAGGATGAAGCAGCTCAGCGCCCCGCCCTTCCTGTTCCGCTTCCCCGCCTGCGTCACGGTGCTGCACTTCCTCACGGTGTGGGCGGTCCGCGGAGCAGCGGGCGTCCCGAGGAGGATGCGGGGGCAGAGATCAGGAGGGGAAGAACACACACAGACACAATTCATCGGCGATTCCCAGCAAATATGGGAAAAGATGGGAAGTGGGGGGGAAGGCAAAAACCCAGAAAATATTGGGAAATGTAGTGGATACTTTTATTTGTGTGTATTTATTTGTGTGTCCCAGTTCCCCTTCCAAAGAACGGTACAGGCGGGGGCGCGCCTCGAGAGGCCATCTGCTGTTCGTCAGGGCATCTCGGGTGTCTTCGCTCCGCGCGCGGCGCGGCGACTTCCCGGAGCCGTTTGGAGGAGCTGCTGCGTTCAGGGTGCGCCCAGATTCCCCTCAGGCGCACCTCGCGCGCGGGTTTTCAGGGTTGGGTTTCCTGCAAGGGTTTCCTGCGGCCGCGTCCTCATTGTGGGGGGCAAGGAACGGTATAACATGTTTTCCGCCGTCGGGGACGCCTGCCCCTCGGGCGGCTGGAAAGTTTCGATCCCTGCGCGGCACCGTAGGAGTATAGATTTTGCAGCCGCCCCCCGGGTGGGCGTCCCCGACGGTGGACAAGTTTGTTGTGTAGCGTTCTTCGTCCCCTATGAGATGGAGGGCGGGTCGAAAAGAAACATTTGCTCACTCATAATTTGTGAGGCTCGGCGCGGGTTTCTTGGATCGGCGCTGGGCCCCCCTGGCGGCGTCTCCCGCGCCGCACACGGCGCGCTCCGCGCGCCAGGGAGGGAATGTTCCAGCGCCGATCCAAGCAGTCCGTGCGGAGCTCCAAAAGCTTCTGTCTATGCCGCTTTCCCTTGTTCGAAGGATGGGAGGAGCAAGGAGGATGGAAAAGTTAAGTCGGACATGTACCCCTGCAGGAGGAAGACAAATAGTCAAATTAAATAGCCTGGGGACGATTTTCCTACTCTGTTTGATTTTTTTAGCATTGGTTGCCTATGTGTTTCTCTTCCGAAATCCGCCTGTAGGAGGACATGCCCGACCTATCAGAAGAGGGCCGAGAACGCCGAAGGTTCCTCCAATCTGCCGTCTCGGCGGCCACCCCCCCCCGGCTGAACTCTTCCGGCGGAGGCCCCGGGGCAGCTCGGGCGCTCCAATTTTCGGGGGTGGCCAAGAGGGGGGTGATGACTAGGGGGGGGTGGACATCATGGCGGGGGCCATGATATCTCTCCAAATCTCATGGCGCCTCTTCTTGTTCAATACGTCCCTGGCCCCGCCCCTGGGCCGCGCACATGCCGCCGGCCATGATTTGCGCCCCCCCCTCTCGGACGCCCCCCTCTTGGCCGCCCCCGAAATTTGCAGTCAGCGGGCGCGGAAGCCAGCATGCAGTCGCTCTGTAGCAAATCATGGGAGCCTGGGGTCTACCCTCTCAGTTTTGTCTTTAGCGTCGATTAGCATCTGGGAGTGGATGAGATAGCGCCGATTTAGCGTCGGTTAGCGTCGATGAGCGATGATCTAGCGTCGATTAGCGTCGATTTAGCTTCGAGCCGCGTCGATTCGCAAGAGCCAACAAGATGGTATGGGAGGCTCCCATGAGCTGCCACCGAACATTCGCCTCTTGCAGGCACCTCGGGGCTGCTGTGGGGCCCTATGGGGCCCATTTTCTGGCCCTTTGGGGCTCTGCTGAGGTCATTTGGGGACCCTCTTGGGCTCTCTTGGAGCCTTCTTCTTGGCATCGCTCGGACGTGTGCATTTTTCCTTCGGCGAGGACCATCGAGGAGCATCCTCGATCATTTGGCGAAAAACCGCGCACGAAACCGGAAAAACATACAGGGAGTGGACGTCCGAGCGACGGCCAGTCTTGGGAGCCTCGAGGGGCCTCTCTTGGGGCCATCTCGGGAGCCACCGATCAGAGAAAGGGGGGGGCAGCCAATGACGCCCCCCCCCCCCCCTCGGAGGCCGCAGATCGACCTCGGGGCGCTCCTGGGCGCCTGTGGGGCCGGCCTGGGCCCATCTTGACGGGGAACGTTCGCGAGCTTTCATCAAATTGTACAGTCAACGCGCCTAGTACGGACGCGTGCCTTCATCTAGGGTACCCTTGAGTCCTTGCCTCTGCGGCCCGTCCTTCGCCGTTTTCACGGGCCGCCCCCCGCCCCAAAAATCCAACTTCGGCCTCCAAGGGTCCAAGGGTTTTGCGTCCTCACCACCCGTCCTTAACAAACGTTTTGACTGTATCCCGGGTTGGTGTAGCTCGCGTCCCAAGCCGTTTGCCGAAGAATGACCTCGGGGCGCTCTTGGGCGCCCTCGGGGCCGTCTTGGGCCCATCCTGAGGGGGAGCATTCGCGAGTTGTCATCGAATTGTGTCCAGGGTTATGATGCTCCAACCGACTTTAGCCTTGATCACCCGAAGGAATTTCGAGCGCCAAGGAAGTACCGAAACTGGAGGAGGTGTTTCGCGTGCCGGGCCCTGGGAGGCGATGCTCGTTCGACACTGTATGGATACCCTTCTGGGTGCTCGAGATTAGTTCCAGCATGTGGCCCTGAAGTGCGATAGGGGGCAACACAAATCCAGGGCTGGTTGGGCTCGTATCCCAAGCTGTTTGGCTGACTGTCGCGTTGACCAGGGTCCTCTCGTGCAGCCGCCCGGCCCGCCACGAGGCGCCCAGAGGCAGCCTGCAGCGATGCACGCCTTGCGTGAATGGTGCGAGAGGCTACAGCCGAGTGTGATCAGCAGGGCGACCCTGCCCAATCCAGGCCTGCCCCGGAGTTCGCGAGCCATGCCTTCTGCATTCCTATGGCAGTGTGGCCCTCGGAAGGTTCTTGTGTCTTCTCGCAAGTCCTCTCCCATCAAGCTCGACCGTACTTCTCCTGACGTGTGGCCAGGGGGCAAGTGGCCAGGGATGTGCCACGGATTCGACCACGGTGGGTTCAGCCTGCATTACCAGACGTTCAACATTGACCATGGCCGACATGACGCCAGCATTGTCGGCGGACGTATCGAGTTGCGCCGCCGCGCACACCCGCCACCGCGTTGGAACACGCGGCCCAGCAAGAGTGTGGAGACGTGATGCAATTTACTTTATGATTGGCGTGCCGCGTCTTGTTGGGCCAGTCAGGGCCGCCGACGATCCGATGCGATGCGATTCGATTCGCCGGCTGGGGCCCTCGATTCCGATTCGATTCGATTCGGTTCGGTTCACCGGCACTGGCTGGGGCCTGTCAGAGCCGGGCGCGGCGATCCGCTTTCGGCTCGATTCGGGACGGTTCGTCGGCGATCCGATCCGTTGCCGCTCCGATCCGACCTCGCGATCCGATTCAGCTCAGCCCTGCCGACTGGAGACCCCTCGAGACTCCTCCCCCGGGGCCGTGTTCGCTCTGCCTCGGCCCGCCGCGGAGCTGTTTGGGGAGGGGGGGCCCTGGAGGCCAGGCGGGAGCCTTCGATGCCATCCCGGGGTCGGCCCGGAGGAGCCTCGGAGCGCACGGCAGCGGGCCCCCTCGGGCTCCGCCCGAGGCCGGGCGGCCCCCTCGCGGGGAGGCGTGCGGGCGCGGCGCGCGCGCGTGGGAGCTCGGGCCGTCGGCCTCCGAGAAACGGGGCGAGGGAGGCCCGGGGAGGATGAAAAGGGAAGGGATCGGGGGCCTGGAGACGGGGCATTTTTGGTGTATCTTTTTATTTTGCGTCGAAAATCCCCCTGTAGGACACGCCCGACATAAATCCACCCCGACCCCCATAACCGGCGTTTACTAAACGGCCCCGTGCGTTTACTGAACAGCGCTCTCTTGTTCGACCTCTTCGTCGGGTGCGTTCACTAGACGGTTGCGTCGTCGGGGTGCTTATTCGCGGGGTGGATCTCCGGCCCTCTACTTGAGGCGGGGGTCAATGCAGGCGGGGGTCAGCCAGAGCGCCCCGACCTTGCAGGATCCTGCAGGGCCAGGGCCGCATTGACCCGGGCTTGGGCGCAGGATCCTGCCGGATCTTGCAGGATGCTTTGCATGGACCCGGGTTTGGGCGCAGGAGTTTGCAGGATCTTGCAGGATCTTGCAAGGCCCGACTGACTCGCGTTTGGATTGGCCCGGGTCAGGAGATCCCCGAAGGGACAGCCAAACATCCCACACAGCTTCGAAGGTCCGTTTCTGTCGTGTCCATGACGTCAGCGTCTCCCCGTCATCGTTCTCATGCACAGATTTCCCTCCGTACCCTGATAGTCCTTTTCATTCGATTCGTCATCTGTGTTGCTGCTGCTCCTGCTCCTCCTCTTGTGCTTCGCTTATGTTGTCGTCGCGTCCGTCTTTCAATATTTTCATCCTCGCCCGGTGGGGGCACATTTGGCGTCTTGGAAGCCGCCTTGGGGGGGGGGGGGGGGGGGAAATCCTCCGCAGGCTCTGTAGTTGTCCTTCTCTTGCCCTCTTGCAGGCCTAGTGGGCCATTCTGGGCGGCTAGTGTGCCAATTTGGGGCCGTATTGGTGCCCTTTCGGGGGTTCCTTGGGCAGCCTTGGGGCGAGAACGCCAAAGTTTTTCCATCAACGGATAACCGTGTGACTGCATGGGCCTCTCGGGGGCCCTTTGGGAGCCTTCTTGGGGCGTCTTGGGAGACCCTTTGGGCCGTCCCGGAAATTGTTGGATCCTCTTGGGGCCCTCCTGGCCCGTCTTGGGGCTCCTAGGCCCTTGAAGTAATGAGAGCGAGGCACGCTCCTGGGGTGGCAGGGGGCTCCCTCCTGGACCTCCGATTGTTTGTGTTATTTCGGCAACCGAAGCAGGAATCGGAAGGACTTGGACGGCAAAACGATCGCGTGTGGCATTCGATGTTTCGGGGGGTCCACTTCGCAAGATTCGCAGCAACGAAACGCACAGGCCCGACACACACACACACACACCGCCGCAATCGCGGCGGCGGATTCATTCCGGTCAACACTGCAGCGCGCACACATCGCTGTCGCAACGGGTGATTTCCCGTTCTGTAGTAGGCAGCGTTTGCCATTATTTGTTAGACGTGCTTTTGCCTACGCGTCCACAGATGCACGGCCCACTGCCTGACAGGGCCGGTGTTCCGACTGCGACTTGCGCAGGCGTGGATGGGCGGCGCCAGGTTCTTCCCCAACGATGCGGGCTTCCATGAGCAGACTGTCGAGGTTGCGGGCGCGAAGACATGCAGCTCACCAGTGGTGATAAGGGAACTCGGTTGCTCCACAGCGATGCGGGCTCGATCAGCCAACAGTCGTGTCTACGGGCGCTGATGCATATGTGTGCCCCTCTTCGCGCACTGCTGGCGCAGAAAAAAGTGTTTAGTTCATGCTGTGCCTAACAGTGACTGCTAGGACACGCTCTCGCATCTCCTTTTCACATGTTAGCGAGGCTGCCGCGACAATGTGTTGGCGCGAGTCCTCGAGCATGTTCGCACCAACCGAGCATCACTTGAGATTTGATCGTTTTTGCCCTCTGCCCTGTGCTCCCCACCAGGTCTGCGGCTGCTACTGGACTGCGATGGGGACGCCCGAGAAGTGTCTGCCCCGCTCCATGGGGTCTCTACGCAGGTACTTGACCGCGATCATCCCCATAGCCTGCAGCTTACCGCTCTCCGTCATATTCAACAATCAGGCCCTGGCGCTAGCCCGTCGTTCTTCCTGAAGCTGCTGCTGCTCCTCCACACTCCTCCCATTCCTCCAGTCCGTAGCCGTTTTTGCTCAGGTCCGTAGCGGTGGCTCTGGGCAGCGAGATGTTGACACCCAGGAGTGAACGGCCTCAACAGCTTCCGTGCCAAAGGTCCGTTTGACTTCTGGTAGAGCGCTGCGATTCCACCTCGCATTGCTCACGCGATCAATTGATGGCCCCCAGACAGCCCAAGAGGTCTCCAAGACGCCCCAAGAGACCTCCAAGGTGCCCCCCAGGATGGCCTTGAAGGCCCAAATCATTGATTCTCTCCGGCTTTTGAAGTATGTTGGCGTTCTCGCCGTTTCGGCTCCCCGACGCTTCCAGACGGCCCTAGAGGCCCCCAAGACCGCCCCAAATCGCGGCACACCAGTGGCGCTGAATCGTGTTCGGTGTCCCCAGGTTCTCGTCCTTGCCGTGTGGTCCCTCCCCACCCCCCGCGGATCTGGAGGTCGTAGAGGGGTGTGGCATGTAAAGGGGCGTGTTGCCAATCGTGGAAGTCGGGGTGCTATCTACCATAGATGGCATCGCCAGACTCAGCATTGGCACCACATCCCTTCATGCCACACCCCTAGGGGAACGAAACATGACATAAACATAAAAGCTCGGAGGTCCGCGCGGATTCCTTGGATCCGTGCTGGACCCCCTTCCCTGGCGCGCGGAGCGCGCCAGGGGCGGGCCCCAGCGCTGATCCGAGGAATCCTCGCGGACCTCCGAGTGTTTATGTTTGTGTCAGTGCTCGTTTCCCTGACCCCTTCCCTGCCTCCAGAGGCGGAGGGATATCCGCAGGAGCACCGTGAGAGCGGGGGTCCACCCCGGAGGCGCGGGGCACGGGGGGGGGGCGGACGTTTCACCTCTCAGCGCAGGCCTCTCGGTGCGCCGAGTGTGGGTGTAATCTCAAGTCGGGCCTGTCCCTCGGCAGGAGGAAGATTCAATTTACCCCAGTGCGACCCTACCTAGAAGTTGGAAGCCCTAGGAAAGCAGCATTAGTTGCTATGCTATGCTATGTCATGCCATGCCATGCTGCGCTATGCTATGCTATGCTAAGCTATGCTATGCTATGTCATGTTGCGCTGTGCTATGCTAAGTTATGCTATGCTATGCTATGCTAAGCTGCGCTATGCTATGATCAGCTGTGCTATGCTATGCTATTCTGCGCTATGCTATACTACGCTGTGCTATGCTATGCTGTGCTCTGCTATGCTAAAGCTCAGCGAAGCTAAGATGAAGGTAAGCTAAGCTAAGATAAACCTGAGCTAAGATGAAGCTAAGCTAAGCTAAGATGAGATAAGCAACGCTAAGCTAAGGGGACGTAGCTGGGGGAACCGCGGGGCGGATACTGGGGGAACCGCCCGGCCGGTTCCCACTGCCCGGCCCTTTAAGCCAAGAGAGTAAGAACCCTTCTAGGCAGAGCCTAGGTAGGGAAATAGTGACAAAAAGTCGGGGTACGATTTGTGTACTCTTTTTGAATATTTTTGAGTATGCTCAGACTCTTTCTTTTGTCGCCCCAAATCCGCCTGTGGGAGGAAATGCCCGACCTGAGTGTACTCGCCGAGCGCGTCCCACTACTCGCAAAGCTCGGCGGCGCGCCGAGGGGGGAAGTCTGGGCCTGCCAGATGGGGTCGGGGCGGGGTCGGAGGATCGCGCCGCATCGCCGATGCATCGACGGTGCGGCTCGATGTGGAGCCCGATTTGCTTCACGCCGACGTCGCCGATGCATCGCCAGCGTCGCTGGTGCATCGCCGATGCATCGCCGATGCATCGGCGATGCATTGGCGATGCTATCCTCCGACCCAATCTGCTCCGACCCCATCTAGAAGGCCTCCAGGAAGTGAGAATGAGAAGGCCTTTTCAGAAGGCGATGGGGCTTCTGCACCGGCCATCGCGATATACGGCATCCAGCATTGCGCTAGCGATGGCGACGCCGACGTGGTAGGTCTGGACACGAAGGATACCGTTACCGACATGGCCTCGCAATGGTCTCATTCCGAACGGCGGTGCTGGGAAAGTTTGCAGCGAGTGACGTCGCCGGACGGAGTGCAGGCGTTTCAGCCGCAAGAGCTGGATCAGCCGCTGACGGGCGCATTTGCAAGCGCGAGATCTGCGACGCACGCAACGGGCACCGCGCGTGCAAGGGCGCCGGCAAGTCGCGCGCCTTGCGCCGTCCACGATGCCCACGTGACACCGTCGATCAGAGCGTGAATTACCTCCCCCGCTTTCGCTTCCAGGCAAAACCAAGCCATACCACGCGCCTCCTCGTCAAGCGGCCTGACCAGTACAGGCCGCAATTTGGCATTGTTTGGTATCTCTTGGAAGCGAGGGTGGTCAAAAGCGAGGTAGGTTTGTTTTCCCCCGAGTCGAGCGCAGCGCTCACCGCGGGGTTACGCCGCGGGTCGAGGACCGCGGAGAGGAGGCCCGCGCGCCGCGCACAGATGCCGAGGTCGAGAGAGCTCTTCGGGGAGGCGGGCAAGCAAGCGGCAGCTGAGCCAGCGCCAGAGCGCGCCCGCTCACGCGGCAAGCACGCGCGGCAGTGCGCAACAACGAGCCTCCAGAGTAAACAAAAGATGAGCATGCCACAGCAGCCCACCCGAAGACGAAGTGCCAAGTCAAAGTTTTGACGGGGGGGGGGGGCAACCCACCACATCTGGATGATGCGCCCTTGGCCGACAAGGTCCTGGCGCGCGCCGTGCACAGAGCCCCAGTTCCCTCCGAAACGCAGCAGGAGAGGGAGGTCAAGGAGGAGAAGGGCAAGGTCGACTTGTCGCCCAGGGCTGGACCTAAACGGTGCTTTTGGTGATTCCGTGGGCCGTTTTCGTTTTGACTCCGTTTTGCGGTAAAGGCGGATTCGAGACAAAAGCGAAGGAAATCGAAGACAAAACGAAAACGAAAAGCACCGTTTAGGCTCAGCCCCGCTGTCGCCCAGACCGCCGACGACGAGGCCATCGGCAGCGCGGATGTCCGACCGCTGGCCGAAGACAGCGCGGGCGCGCCCCCAGGGCGGGCGACCAAGGCCCCCGCCGTCGGGGCCGAGAGGGCAGAGGCCAAACGATGCACCGGCACCGCCACCTTGCGCACGGCGTCGCGCGCACGGCAGTGCCGAGATCAGAGGAGCTCGAGCATCACCGGGCGGGTGCTCCAGTGCTCGCGGAGTGCCTACTCATTGGCATCGCTCGGACGTGTGCATTTTTTCCCGGCGAGAACCATTGAGGACGATCCTGGACCATCGAGCAAAAAAATCACGCACGAAACCGAACAATGCACGGGAAATGGACGTCCGAGCGATGGCGAGACTCGCAAACGCCCGACAGACACGTGTCTGCTTCGATGCAATGCTTCGATGCAATGTATCGTACAGTCGGCCCGGAGTCGTAGGTCGACCCTGCCAAATCAAGGGTACCTTTGTGTCCTGTGTCTCGCGACCCGTGCCTCCTGCATTCCTGTGGCAATGTGGCCCTCGGAAGGGTCTTTTGTCCTCTCGCGTGTCCTGCCCAGTGAAGTCCGGCTATAGATCCCCCGAGGGGGCTCCGGGCAATTTGCGAGCAGCTACTTGGCGAGCAGTGGAGCGCGCTCGTCTCTGAGCAGCCGGTGCCCCCACGACCGCTCCGATGCAGCAGCGCGCCAGGGTTAAGTCGTGCCTGTCCCCCTACAGGGGGATTTTCGACGAAAAATAAAAAGTACCCCCAAAAATACCCCCAAGAGGTCAACAAATACTCCAAAATAGTCCCCAGACTATTTTTGGATTCTTTTCGGACTATTCTTTCTTTTTTTTTGTTGTGTTTTTAACTTTTCGTCGAAATATCCCCCTATAGGGGGACAGGCCCGACTTCGCGCCCGGGCGGCGGGGCCCGCGCCCTGCCGACGGGGCCGGGGCTTTTTGGTGCGGGCGGCGTGCGGCGCCGAGCCCGTGGCCGGAGCCCGGGGCCCGCGGGCGCGTCGCCCGTCGAGGCGCGCGCCGAGGCCCGAGAGCCAGGAGTCAGAGCCCCAAATCATCAGGGGTAACTCGGGTCAGAGCTAGCTCGGGTTCGTTTTTTCGGGAATCCGAACCCGAGTTACCCCGGGCCCGAGTTACCCCGGATTATTCGGGCGCCTAAAGGAGCGGTGGCCGCTTCTCGGTCGGGCCTGTGCCCCTGCAGGGGGATATTTCGACGAAAAATAGAGAACACCCCAAACATACCCCAAGAAGATCCAAACATATTGAAAAATAGTCCCCAGACTATGTTTTGAGCATTTTTTGAACGTGAGCGGCGAGGACAAGTCCACCCTGAAGTCGGGCCTGTCCCCCCACAGAGGGATCTTCGACGAGAAATAAAATATACCCCCAAATTAGTCAAACAAATAGTCCGGGGGCTATTTTGTGAGTATTTGTTGGCCTTTTTGGCGTGTATTTTTGGGGCTATTTCTTATTTTTCGTCGAAGATCCCCCTGTAGAACACGCCCGACATAAATCCATCCCGACCCCCATAACAGGCGTTCACTAAACGGCCCCGTGCGTTTATTGAACAGCGCTCTCTTGTTCGACTTCTTCGTCGGGTGCGTTCACTAGACGGTTACGTCGTCGGGGTGCTTATTAGCGGGGTGGATCTCCCGCCCTCTACTTGAGGCGGGGGTCAAGGCAGGCGGGGGTCAGCCAGAGCGCCCTGACCTTGCAGGATCCTGCAGGGCCAGGGCCGCATTGACCCGGGCTTGGGCGCAGGATCCTGCCGGATCTTGCAGGATGCTTTGCATGGACCCGGGTTTGGGCGCAGGAGTTTGCAGGATCCTGCAGGATCCTGCAAGACCCGACTGACTCGCGTTTGGATTGGCCCGGGTCAGAAGATCCCCGAGCTTCGGGAGCCGATGGTTGCGGGGCGGGGCCGTGATGCTGGTTTTTGTCGACTGGCGCCCACCCACCAGATTGTTCGGTAGCAAATCACGGGAGCCTGGTAGACCCTCTTGACGATGTCGGCTAGCGTCGATTAGCGCATGGGAGTCGATGGGATAGTGCCGATTCAGCGTCAAGTAGCATCGTCTTAGCGTCGACTAGCGCCGATTAGCGTCGATTCGCAAGAGCCGACAAAAATTGCAAATAGGGGCACCCTTGTTTTTCGCCCGATCGCCCCCCCCCCTGGCGGAAAGCTGTCGGGCAGACTCCGTCCCTTCACGCCCCAGCGTCACATTCCAACTACATGTCCCTTCGACGGGGCTGGAACGTGTGCCTGCGTTTGGCTTCGGGCCCAAGGCCGAAGCCGGGGCCCTCGGGCGCGGCGCCGTCGAGGCGTGCGCCGAGGGCCAGGCCGGGAAGGCCGCCGCGGCGGCCGCTCCTGAGGCCGATGTTGGAGGGGCGGGGCCGCGTCGTCTGCAGGCAGTACGGATTGTGATATACAGTCGGGGCGCTGAACATGGAACCCTTTTCGTTGGGGAGGTGCTCCGTGTTCCTTAATTGGTTCGCAGCTTGCCTTAGGTTGTCCTCAGGTTTTCGTTGGGGAATCGAGGTTTAACTTGTGGAAAAAGGGGGCCTCGTTCCTTATCTAGGGTTCCTTGGGTCAACGTCCCGACGGTAGGACGGTGCCCTGTTGTTTGGGTGGCGAGACTGGCACCAGGGTTCAAACCCGTCTCACATGCCGCGGGAGAGATTGGAGGGGCAGCATTTTTCCTCTGTCCTCTCTTGAGTTTGCATGGTCGCGGCAGGCTTCGTTTCGCAATTTGCACTTAGTGGCCGCAACCGTCTAGGCGCGAACGCGTCTTGTCTGAACAAGACTGGAAGCCTGAGGCGCACGGATCCCCTATGAAAAATCGCGTGGCCGTGTCATTGGCCTTTGGTGGTTGCGGCACCCATTCATTTTGTTGCAAAAGGGGCGTCCCCGTTATTCGTCCGATCGCCTCCCCACCACCCCCTTTCTTCGTGTTCTCCGTTTCCCTTCCTGACTTCTTCTATGGGCGGTGAATTTGCCACTCCTCCAGCTCCTTATTCAGCAAATGTCTCTTTCTCCTCCCGTTCCTCCATCTCCTATCCTCCTATCCTCCTCCCCCTCCTTCTCCTCCCCGACGACGCCTGTTCTGCTGCACCTCCCTCCGTTGCAGCACGAGGTTTTGCCTAGCTCTGTGGCTAGGCACTCTGGAGGCGCGGGAGTGGAGCTCGAAAAACCCGCCGACGCTTGTTCGCGCTTGCCACGCCCTGTGCCGAACTTGCCGTGACTTTTCGAGAATGCCCGATCCAGAAGGAGGAGGAGGAGGAGGAGGAGGAGGAGGAGGGGATGATGCAGGAAGGGAAAAACACTAGGAGGGGCAGGAGCAGGAGGAGGAGGAGAATTGGTACCGCGTGATCGGCGTGGCCGTCCCCATCGGTTTCCCGCAGTCTCTCGATCAGAGGTTTGAGGCTGAGATCGACGTGAAAATGGGTCACCCAGCCGGGAGTCGATGTCGGTTTCGGTTCATGTCGTGCGTGACGTACGGGCGAGGCGAGGCAAAGTTGCGCGCGTTCTTCCCCTGGTAAGAGAGATCACGTCAGGCCGAAATGAGTGGCCCCGGCCTGGGCACTGCGTCGGGGCTGACTGTCCCAATGGGTGTCCCTATGGTCCTATGGTTGTCCCGCTGGCTGTCCCGATGGTTGTCCCGATGGTTGTCCCGACGGTTGTCCCGATGGTTGTTTCGATGGTTGTCCCGATGGTTGTCCCGATGTTTGTCTCGATGGTTGTCCCGATGGTTGTCCCAATTGCCGTCCTGATGCGCCATGCGAGACCATAATTCAAAAACGCGTGTTGCGAGGTGTCCCGATGGTTGTCCCGATGATGGTCCGGATAGTTCTGCGAGGCCATAGTACCAAAAAGGGCGAGCTCTGATGCCATAATGCAAAGGAATGCGTCTTGCAGGCAAAACAACAGCACCAACAACAAAGCAACACAACAGCACCAACAACAACAAACACAATGCGTGGCAATCATAACGAAACATGGTAGCTTGTAGACGTAGGACATGTGGATAGTCAGTGAGCTATTTTACATAACTAAATTAAAGTACATATGGACAAACAGTCCATACGGTTGTCCCGATGACTAGTGAGATCGAGAGATGGTTGATAGTGGCATCGGTAGAAAGATAGTGTGACAGACAGATCGTGAGACCGACTAGTTGGTGATATGTTTATGGACAGATACATATACAGTAGGACAGACGGAGATGTATGGGCAGACAGGCAGAATGTAATGACCATGTGTTTCGATGTCCCTCTGTGCGCCCACTCGTGAGTTGACCCGTGCGTCCAATGCAGATCAGAGACGGCGCCACCCCTGAGGTATGATCCGACGTGCACCTCCCTCCCCCTCGCCCAACATCCTCTCGCCATCCTCGTCCTCCTCCTTCCTGACTCCTCCCATCCTCTCCTCCTCCTCCTCCTCCTCCTTCTTCTCCCTCTCCATCCCCCTCCCTCCCCCTCCCCCTCCCGCGGGGCATTCGCCAGAGCTTATCCTGGGCATTGCATATCAGCAAGCCCGCCAGAAACTCCTCCTCCGACTCCCTTGTCGCTCGGGCCGGACGAGAAGGGGAGGAGGAGGAGGAGGAGGAGGAGGAGGAGGAGGAGGAGGAGAAGGAAGAGGAGGAGGAGGAGGAGGAGGAGGAGGAGGAAGGATTGAGAAAGAGGAGGGGGCGGGGCTGGACCCTGCCGATTCGTTCATCCCCTCCTTGCAGTGCTCGACCTTACACGGTGTTCTGGCGATCTCGTTTTGACTTCGTGTTGCTGCGAGGGTGGAGCGGAGACAGCGGGCAGGAACACGAAAACAAAGCGGGGAGGGAACACGCTGTCTGCGTCGAGCCCTGCCCCCCTCCGCCGCCTCGCCCCCCTGCCCTCTTGACCCGACCCTGGGCCTCGCCCGCCCTCTTGAGCCGAGGCCATGATCTACGTCGGGGCCGGCGTCAACGCCGTGATCGGCACCCTGGCGCCCGTCGCCACGGCCCTGCTCTCGCGCCTCCTCGGCCGGCGCTTCGCGCGCGCCTCCTGGGTGGGCGTGGCCGTGGCCTGCGCCGGGGCCCTGGTCATCACCTCGGGCGAGGTGCGGCAGGCTCGGGCCCCCCGAAGGGGGCCAGCGCAGATGCTTGGCATCGCTCGGACGTGTGCATTTTTCCTTCGGCGAGGACCATCGAGGAGCATCCTTGATGATTTGGCGGAAAAACCACGCACGGAACCAAAAAAACACAGGGAATGGACGTCCGAGCGATGGCGAGGGTGGGGTCGGAGGATCGCGCCGCATCGGCGATGTGTTTCGATCCGGAGCCCGTTCTTTACGTCGCATCTTCGGGGGCCCTGGCCCCCAAATCGGTGTCTGCTCGTGCCCGACGCGGACCCGATGCGGGCTCGGCGCGGATTCGGCGAGTCCAACATCGATTCGACACGGAGTCGACGCGGATAGCCTCGATGGGGCAGACGAGGTTCCCCGCAGGCGCGGTCCTCCGACCCTCGCTGCTCCGGTCCCCTGTGGGAAGCCTCCGCCAGGTGTCTGCGCACCAGGCCTCACCCGACAGCGGCGGCCCCGCGCAGGACCCGGCCCTCATGGGCTACGGCTTCCTTCTGAGCTTCACCTCGGTGTTTTGCCGCTCCATCAAGGCAGTGCTGCAGGACCGGCTGCTCAAGCCGCGATCGTACGGCGGTGAACAGGTGAGAGATGGACAAAAAAAGCGGGGTCGACTGCGCCGACGTTCAGCGCGCAGGCTGCCCGCGTAAGGTCTTGCGCAAGCGCCCTTGCGTGCAATGCGGCGTGCCGCGCTGGTGGCCCGCGCAAGCCGCCGTCTTCTCGCGTAAGTCAGGAGGGGAAAAAACACAACAGACACAATTAATCGTCGATTCCCCAGAAAATATGGGAAAATATGGGAAGTGGGGGGGAAGACAAAAACCCAGAACATATGTGAAAATATGGGGAATCTTTTTACTTGTGTGTACTTATTTGTGTGTCCTGGGGCCCCTTCAGTAAGGCCCGTGCCTCCTCGTCGCCCAGGTGGCCTCGCAGGAGCAGGCCGACGCCGACGAGAAGGGCCCCGCAGCCCTGGAGCCGATGCACGTCTGGGTGCTGCAGGCGCCCCCGTGCGCCCTGGTCGCGGCGCTCTGCGCGCTGGGCTCCGCGGAGCGCCCGGGGCAGGCCCTGCGGCAGCTGACGCCGGGCGTCGCGGGCATGATCGCGTGCACGTGCGCCAGCTCGGTGCTTAACGGGCGAAGAACGGTATAACATAAACTTTTTCGCTGTCGGGGGCGCCTGTCCCTGGGCGGCTGGAAAGTTTGTACCCTTACGGTGGCACCGTAGGGGTACAAACTTTCCAGCCGCCCAGGGACAGGCGCCCCCGACAGCGAAAAAGTTTATTTTATGCCGTTCTTCGCTCGCTGAGGTGCTGCTGAACTTGTCTGGCATGATGACGGTCCGAGAGCTGGGGGCGAGCTCGACCCAGATCGTGGGGAAGCTCAACATCGTCATCACCGTTGCCCTGGCGGTGGCGTTCCTGGGCGAGAGCCTGCCGGCCGAGGTGCTGGCCGGATCCTGCGTCGTCCTCGTCGGCGTCGGCATCTTCGAGCGCGGGGAGGCCAGCCTGGAGGCACTGGAGCAGAGGGTGCGGACGACCCTGCCGGCGTCGAGGAAGGCGCTCTCGGCCTGATGGCGCCGGAGCGCCAGGGGGGCCGGGCGCCGTCACCGCGACAGCGTGTGCAGCAGGGCCGCCGGGGGCAGCAAGAGTTGCCAGGGAGGGGGGTCCAGCGCCGATCCGAGAAATCCGCGCGGACCTCCGAGCCTTTATGTCTATGTCATTGTTTGTCGAAGAGTTGCGCCAGCGGGCGAGCAGTGGTGCGAGCAGTCGCGGCTCGCAGGGATCGAGCGCAGAGAATGGGTTTGCCTCGTCCGCGATTGCTGCAGGGTGCTCCGCAACCTCTGAGTTGGGAAGCGGTTCACGAAAGGATTCAGTGGTTCGACCGCCATATCCTGGCCGCCAGTCGCCCTTGTACCACACTGCATCATGACATCCTCCGCTACATGATGCCACCTAGACATTGATGATATCAACTACTGTACGCATTGGCATCCATGTTGTCATTCATTCGGCCACGTATTATTGCTACTACTCCGATCGAAGCTACACAACTACGACTACGACGACTATTACAATGCTACGGTTGCGATCGGTACTCTCACGCATGCTACATCAGATTGGCGCAGCTACTGTTCCTACTATTTAGGCTGAAGCTGATGCTATTGCTGGTGTTTTTACTAAGCCCTTCTTCTACACCTACGACTGTTAGGGCTATGACGACTACTACTACTACTTCTACTACTGTTTACTACTACTACTACTACTACTACTACTACTACTACTACTACTACTACTACTACTACTACTACTACTACTACTACTACTACTACTACTACTACTACTACTACTACTACTACTACTACTACTACTACTACTACTACTACTACTACTACTACTACTACTACTACTACTACTACTACTACTACTACTACTACTATACTACTACTACTACTACTACTACTACTACTACTACTACTACTACTACTACTACTACTACTAACTACTACTACTACTACTACTACTACTACTACTACTAACTACTACTACTACTACTACTACTACTACTACTACTACTACTACTACTACTACTATTACTACTACTACTACTACTACTACTACTACTACTACTACTACTACTACTACTACTACTACTACTACTACTACTAATACTACTACTACTACTACTACTACTACTACTACTACTACTACTACTACTACTACGACTACTACTACTACTACTACTACTACTACTACTACTACTACTACTACTACTACTACTACTACTACTACTACTACTACTACTACTACTACTACTACTACTACTACTACTACTACTACTACTACTACTACTACTACTACTACTACTACTACTACTACTACTACTACTACTACTACTACTACTACTACTACTACTACCACTACTACTACTACTACTACTACTACTACTACTACTACTACTACTACTACTACTACTACTACTACTACTACTACTACTACTACTACTACTACTACTACTACTACTACTACTACTACTACTACTACTACTACTACTACTACGACTACTACTACTACTGCTCCACCACCACCACGACCACGACGACAACGATTACAACGACTACGCTTACGATTATTACTACTACGACAACAACTACTACACGTATTACGACGAATCCTACGACTACTACTACTACGACGACGACGACGACGACGTTTACTACTACTACTACTACTCCTACTCCTACTACTACTACTACTACTACTACTACTACTACTACTACTACTACTACTACTATTCTAGACGCTTCGCGTATCCCCACCAGCCCGTCCAGAAATGAGTCCCAGGGGAGTGGAGGTTATGAGGGAAGCGGGGGAGCATGCAGAAGAACAAAGGGCGGGGTGAGCCGCCATATACCCCAAGAGGGGGAGGATGTAGGAGGAGCCGTCGTCGTCGGAGTAGGAGGAGGAAGAGGAGGAGCAGGAGGAGGAGCAGGAGGAGGAGGAGGAGGATAGAAGGAGGAGGAGATGGAGGACTGCGAGGACGAGGAGGACGAGAAGGAGGAAAAGGAGAAGGAGGAGGAGGAGGAGGAGGAGGAGGAGGAGGGGGAGGGGGAGGAGGGAGGAGGAAGAAAAAGAGGAGGGAGGAGGAGGACAATTGCGAGCTTGGGGGCCTCTTGGGCCGTCCTTGGGGCCTCTTGGCGGTCCCGGGGGCCTCTTGCGTATCTCGGGGAGCCTCTTGTGGCCTCTTGGGGGTCTCTTGGGGGCCTCTTGGAGGCCTCTTGGGGGCCTCTTGGGGCCTCTGGGGCCCTCTTGGGGCGCTCTTGGGGCGCTCTTGGGAGCCTTCGAGGCGCTCTTGGGGCCATCTTGGAGGAGATCTATCAAAGAAGGGGGGGTCCCCAATTAGCGCTGCCCCTCTAGAGTGCCTCGAGTCGCCTCTTGGGCCCCCCCAAGAGGCCAACATCCTTCCAAAACCTAAGTAAAATCAATGTTTTTTGTTTTCTCGCCTTTTCGCTCTTGGAGCCGTCTTGGGAGCCTCTTGGGCCTCTTAGGGGTCTCTTGGGGGCCTCTTGGAGGCCTCTTGGGGGCCTCGTGGGGGCCTCTTGGGGCTCTCTTGGGGCGCTCTTGGGGCGCTCTTGGGAGCCTTCGAGGCGCTCTTGGGGCCATCTTGGAGGAGATCTATCAAAGAAGGGGGGTTCCCCAATTAGCGCTGCCCCTCCAGAGTGCCTCGAGTCGCCTCTTGGGCCCCCCCAAGAGGCCAACATCCTTCCAAAACCTAGGTAAACTCAATGTTTGTTGCTTTCTCGCCTTTTCGCTCTTGGAGCCGTCTTGGGTCATCTTGGACTCTCTTGGGGCCTCTTGGGGGTCTCTTGGCAACGTCTTGGAGGCTTCTTGGGGGCCTCTTGGGGTCTCTTGGGGCCCTCTTGAGGCGCTCTTGGGGCGCTCTTGGGAGCCTTCGGGGCGCTCTTTGGGCCATCTTGGAGGAGATCTATCAAAGAAGGGGGGGTTGCTTATTAGCCCCGCCCCTCCAGAGTGCCTCGAGTCGCCTCTTGGGCCCCCCCAAGATGCCAAAATCCTTCCAAAACCTAGGTAAAATCAATGTTTTGTGTTTTCTCGCCTGTTCGCTCTTGGAGCTGTCTTGGGCCATCTTGGACGCTCTGACACCTCGCGACCGGCCCCGTCCAGGTCAGTGGGGAGGGGTAAGGGGAGGGGTAAACCCCTCCCCGAAGGGGAAGAAGGGGGTTGGCAGAGGAAACTCCCTAGACCACCTACGCCCTAAAGGGCTGGTGGTGGGGACTACTACTACTACTACTACTACGACTACTACACTACTACTACTACTACTACTACTAACTACTACTACTACTGCTACTACTATACTACTACTACTAATACTACTACTACCACTACATACTTACTACTACTACTACTTACTACTACTACTACTACTACTACTCCTACTACTACTACTACTGTTACTACTGCTACTACTACTACTACTACTACTACTACTACCGTTCTGCTACGACTACCACTACTGCTAAGACAACGACGACCACGACGACGACACCTACTACTACTACTACTACTACTACTACTACTACTACTACTTCTACGACGATGACTACTACTACTACTACTACTACGACTTCGGCTACGACTACGCTTGCTACTCCTACTATTTTCTAATACTACTACTACTACTACCACAACTACTACTACTACTACTACTACTACTACTATTACTTTTACTGCAATTACTATTACCACTACCACTACTACGACGGCCACTACTACTACGACTACTACTACTACTAGTATTAGTACCAATACTACTACTACTACTACTACTCCTACTACTACTACTACTACTACTACTACTACTACTACTACTACTACTACTACTACCAGTGCGACTACTAGTCCTACGACTAGTACTACTACTACTACTACTACTACTACTACTACCTACTACTACTACCACTACCACTACCACTACCACTACCACTACCACTACCACTACCTACCATACCAGTACCAGTTACAGTACCAGTACGTAACACTGCTGCATATACTACTACTACTACTCTACCAGGCGACGACTACTACTAATACTACTACTACTACTACTACTACTACTACCACCACTACTACTACGACTACGACTACTACTACTACTACTACTACTACTACTACTATTACTACTACTACTACTACTACTACTACTACTACTACTACTACTACTACTACTACTACTACTGTTAATGCTACTGCTACTACTTCGACTAGACTGCCTGGGGAAGGGGGTGTTCCTTCATAGGGAACAGTGATCAAGACACCCTCCCCGCCCGCAAGCTGTCTCGCTCACTCCCACCCGCCCTCCCAGCACACAAGTAGCACCCGCGCCTCAGCATGCTCAGCGGTTGTTTACGGACGGATAGCTAATGGAAACCAGTACAGACCCCATGTGCAAGACGCTGGGGCGAGGTGCGCCACGAGTGGCAGGCGCTCCGGGTGCGCCAGGCACCCCTGTGGTCCGAGCGTGCCAGGCACGCCTCGCGCGCCAGATGCGCCACGTGCTCCTCGTGCGCCAGGTGTGCCGCACGACCCAGCCGAGCCAGGTGCGCCACGGTCGGGGCACGCGCAGCGCAGAGTTCGCCAGGTGCGCCCGCGCATGCGACAGCACACGTCGGGAAACATGTCGGTCCCCTTACCATCCCTGCCAGCACCCGCACGGTCCTTGTCAAACGCCAATGGACAGTGATCGCCGGGTGGCCGCGCATGATCCAGATTTAGCCGGGAAGCGTATTTTGCATGGTTGGTTGAGGCCTTGCGCAAAGCAGGCAATGTATAAATGCAGCCTTGCCGTCCCGGTCAGAAATCGATGCAAAGTGCTCGTGGGGCCCACGAGCATGACCCAAGATTTTGCCATAAAGTGTGTTTCGTATTTTTGTTTGACATGGATGCGAGGGGGGCTTCGCAGCGGTCCTGGTGGGCTGCTGGTCGCCTGGGGGAGGAGGTGGGAATGGAGATGCACCCCTCCCCGGAGGGGGAACAAGGGGTGTTGGAAGAGGAGA